GTGACGAGGTAATGACCGACTGTGCTCCAAGGTTTGTCGACTTCGTCTCCAACTGCGTGTCTAAATAGTTGTTTTAATTCACGAGTAGCGCTTCCACCGCCAGGTGCGCGATCTCGTGAACATCATGTCAGTGGGAAGTTTTCAGGTGGTTTTGCGACGGGGGACGAGAAAACGAGTCGCAAACTATTGCTAAACCAGCGCTGAGTTAGTCTGGCCAGTGTCAATTAATCAGGTATATTTCTACGAAACAAACGTACCCGACTCGACGCACAAAATTAAAAAAAAACTTACTAACAAATAAGGTTACGTATTTTTAAAACCTCTGAATGTAATCAGTGGATGACACGTGTACCGTTTAAATAATGAAACACGCGTGCAAACATCGTGTCGCAACCTATTGCTAAACCAGCGCGGAGTTAGTCTGGCCAGTGTCAATTAATCAGGTATATTTCTACGAAACAAACGTACCCGACTCGACGCACAAAATTAAAAAAAAAAACTTACTAACAAATAAGGTTACGTATTTTTAAAACCTCTGAATGTAATCAGTGGATGACACGTGTACCGTTTAAATAATGAAACACGCGTGCAAACATCGTGTCGCAACCTATTGCTAAACCAGCGCGGAGTTAGTCTGGCCAGTGTCAATTAATCAGGTATATTTCTACGAAACAAACGTACCCGACTCGACGCACAAAATTAAAAAAAAAAACTTACTAACAAATAAGGTTACGTATTTTTAAAACCTCTGAATGTAATCAGTGGATGACACGTGTACCGTTTAAATAATGAAACACGCGTGCAAACATCCAACCGAAAAAAAAAAAAAGATTTAAAAATTGGAACCCTCGAAGGATAATTCGACATTAGTTTTCGACCAACGAACCACACCAGGTACAATTACTGTACGGAAATCGTTAATATATATGCTTTTAACGAGCCCATTCATATCAAATGTTTAGAAAAAAAAAACAAAAAAACAAAAAAAACTGGTTTTTTTCTTGGTACAAAAATAAACCACGCGTTGCCGAACACCCAGTCTTCAACCAAATGTATAGAGGTTGGGACCCAATGCCAAAGTTATCAGAGCTTGCCGTTCAGAAGTTTAAATAAATATTCAAAAATGTTCACTGGGAAAATGGAGCCCGTTCCCGGTGACTCCCGAAAATCGCGTATAGCTCTCATTCCGATAACGGCAAGTGCCTAAAACTTTGACACCTGGTCCCAACCGCTATAGATCTACATCATTGGGCAAGGAGTCGGCATTCGGCGATGCGCAATTTATTTTTGCGCTGAGAAAACGAAACAAAAAAAAAACAAGAAAACTTTTCTTCCAAACACTGCGGTATAGATCTTCTGCAAAGCGTGAAGTGCCGTCCGTGGAGCCGAAAAGAATGCCGAGAACGCTGGGTATACGATCGGTTGTAGCAGACGACAGAGGCGACTTCGAAAGCGACGACGAGCGGGCAAGCGCAGGCGAGCAACGGTGCTCTGCACCCTCTCGGTCTTTCAGTGTTACGTTGGTTGCACCTTCAAGACCAATCTGGGAGGTGCACACTAAAAACGTTTACACCCTTTTGGGTGCAAATCAGCTTCTCCCAGGGCTCACACCCTTAGGATGCTTGTGAACGCCCGAAAAATAGGATGCATGCCATCGTAACAGCAACCTATGAATATTTTTATTTCATTTCAATGAAGTACAAATATTAGTGACCATCTGGCAATATTCATGTGTGTAAAAAAAAGAACTAGTTTAAAATGCAAATAAACTACACCGCGCATCTTATCAGAATATTACAGAAAATTTCTTTTCTGAATTTAGGTTTAAGCGTTCAGAGCTAGACTGGAAGTCTAAAGCAGCGGACGCAAATCAAGCATACAATAAATTTCGACTACCATATAAAATATGATTTCCTCATAAATTACCTAGGACATCTAAAATAAGCCGTAATTAAGCCTTGCCTTGGATAACTCCAGAACTTTTAACAAAAGTTAAAAAGAAAAAAGTTCTTGTAGAAAACATTTGTGAACACGTGGGGTCCTGACAGTCTCAAAACGTTCAAATCGTGCCGAAACAAACTTACAAAGGGACTGAAGTCTGCCAGAGCGATATATTTTAATAACTACTTTTTTTTGTCAGCAATGCAAACAGATGTTACGTGGGAAAAAACTTAACAAGGTCCTATACCGTTCCCACGACGTAAAACGAATCGATAAAATTCATCTTAATAACATAAACCCAACAGAGATATGACGTTATAGTCGAAACGTTGTCCAGATCGATTTTATTGACCACTAAACTTTTGGCTATGTATATCAATGATTTTATATGAAAAAAGTTGACCTTAAAAAACTTGGAGGGGGGGGGCGGTCACCCGCCCCCCCCCCCCTTTTTCTTTTTTTCGTAAATATTCGCGAAAGTTAAAGCGAACTGGCGAGACTAAATTTTTTTTAAATATATATTCTTTTATATCTGATTTTTTTTTCTATAATATTCAAAAATAAGGAGCGCTGTTTACACGATGTTTACAAACAACACCGCGCTCACCAAGTGTAAACACTGCCGCCCATGCGTAAAAAAAAATAAATAAAAACAAAAGTGATTTGGGTGAAGTGAAGCGTCTGCACGTGCACAGATATCGACAGAAATGCGCCACTATACTATGGCGACTTCGGAGAGTTGAGTTGACATATAAACATCTACATTTTCTAAAAATGTTATAAAACGTTTGTATAGAAGTGTCGGGCATCACGTTTAAACAAAAGTCGAGCTTCGTCGAATTTCGCCACAAGTATGCGAAGGTTCGGCGAGCAATCTAATTTTTTTGGTTCGGCGTACCAACAAAAACTTGCAACATATCCGTAAGGGCAACGCCGTTGCGCCTGTCGACGCGAACTCGATCGCCAATTCTTATGAACTCGCGTGTCGTGTTCTGTTTCTCTGAGCTTGTATCTTTTTTTTTTTTTTTTTCCGAGAAATATTACGATTGCTTTTACGTTCGCGCGGAAAAAAAAAAATATGGCGGACATTTTGTGTTTGTTTGAAGGTATACATAATGGTTTTCTTACATACCAGATGTATCCAAGCATTTAGAGGATCGTTTTACAAAGCTCTTGACTAACGTATTTCAAAATTATTTTTAAAAAATGTTAAAAAAAAGGAAAGATTTTGTCTGCTTACGCACGCAAAATGCACATCTGGTACTTGGCGTCACACCCTACCCGTTGGTGCATTCGCAGAAGCGTTAGCTTCGTCGGTTTCGTTTAACTAACAACGGTCCCACTGATGTGAAATTTCCTATATGTGGTGCCACTTGCAGGAAAATTATGCTGCGGTATTATTAACACTTTTGAGCAGCTGTGCGCGGGCGCGTCATAACTGAACCTTGTATTTTTTTCCCCCTTTCATCCAGTTCGCCCCACTTCATCACTTGTCGCGCGACGGGTTATACCTTTTAGACACCAGTGGGTTCATGCCCCCAACGCTGGCTTCGTATGACCTCGCCCTGATAACCGTTTTAGTGGCAGGGCTCCTCCGTGAAGCCATGGAAGATCAGTTTTAGAGAACTGTCAGCAGAGGATGAGGGACGGCTAGAAAATGCAGCGCTGTTTCCCGCTGTTCGCGTCCTTCGGCTGAAATACCGCTCATATGTGGCGGAATTTTAGGGAGAGGCAATTTGCTGTCGGCAGCGAGCAAGCTCAGCGTCACACTCACGCTGAATAACGACTGTGAGCTTGTCGAATACTTGGTATATGATTCGAAGAAAGAGAAAGCGAGTTAGTGACATAGGGAGTTTTAGTAGACGCGGTTCCGATAACTGCGATAATGGTCCTGCATATCCGCGGATTACTTGGGGATCATTTCGCGGATATCCGCTCTCAACTGGCGGACGCGGATAAAAATGCATCAGATTTGGTGGATTACGGATCGGATGGGATGAGGGTATCCGCGGGTCCGGACCTACATTTTTTTTCCGAGGCGGCACATTAACGTGTGTTTCCGCAGTGTGTAAAGTGGATAACTGAGTGATATACCGAGTGCATCATCGAACGTTTCGCGGGAGAAAATTCCTCCCTTAGACAACAGGTGCCTATCGGGGATAAAATTGTTCTGCACGCCAAGAAAGATCAGACATGCATCAAAGATCGTTTTAAAACGTTATATGGAATATATAAAAAGCAGCGCCAACGAGACGAAGGATTAAAGAAGACGGCCAGGGCGCTGCCAAGATGGTGTGACATGAAATCATCAGTGTTGACAGGTGATAAGAAAGAAATACCGCTCCGGATACGTAACAGGATGTCAACGGAATGCAAAGACCTCTTTCCACGTTTACAAGAGGTCCTCTTTGGTCATATCATCATCCCCATGCCTCTCTATCAGCTTATGTTTATCTGATAAAGGAAACAATCGGGAATCGATCACAAGGCGGTTTCGCTTTTCGCTTGACGCACATGCATCCTGCTAGCGAAATCTCGTGAATTCTCGAGATGGATGGACGGATGGATGTTGATGGCTATACCCTTTGTAACTGGCGGTAGCTTGCGCCACCTAGCCTAAATCTAAAAAGACAAAGATATGATTCGTCCTGCCCTTCTAAGACCAATCCCCCCCCCCCCCCCCCCCCCTAACTATCACCAGGCGGTTTTGGGATATCGCCAAGATAACTTTCGAAGGATCGGGCAAAAAAAAAAAAAAGAAAAAAAAAAAACATAATTTACCGGGGAGTTTTGTTTTTGAACGCTTCGATGCGCTAAAACCATTGGCCCGCGCCCTAGAGCTCTAGTGCCATGAGCACGTGCCTGTTGGTTATCTGTCATCTTTCTTCTTCTCTTCTGGATGAAATATTGGGTTGGGAGTTCAGCGTCTATCCTGTCTCCTGTATTATTCTATCCTCACGTTGTTCGCTGACTTAGCCATGTACAATGATGACGCCGCAGTCTATTCTGGAAGCTCACAGTTAATTTATGACTGATGTCAATGTCTTGTCTTTTCAGGGTGTGCTGGTGTTATAGTTGGTCATCCTTTCGACACCATAAAGGTGAGCGCCCACTTGTCGCTATTTGGCTGAAAACTACAAAGTACAAGTGCACACTCTCCCCGCTCCTTCACACACACACGCACGCACGCACGCACGCACAGACAGACAGACAGACGCAATAAGTAAACAAAATTAAAATAGCATGTTTTTTGTTGTTGTTCTTTTTTTTTTTTTTTTTTTTTTTTTTTTGCAAAAATAACGTGTGCGTTGCCGAACGCTGAAATTCCTACCAGATGTAGCGCTAGCGGTACCGACCAGATGCCAAAGGTTCAGAACGAACCGTCAGACTACCCAAGAAGTAAAAAAGCGTTTTGTTTTTTAATTTTTTATGGGAAAACGGCGGCCGACAAAGACGACAAACACATTTGGGCTGAATGGCGTAAACTACTGGGACCTCAAACGTGCCCCATTTTTCCAATGAAAGTTTCAGAAACTAGAATCAAATAACGGTTAGGTCTGAAACTTTGGCATCCGGTCCGCAGCGTTAGCGCTACATTTGGGCGGAAACTGAGCCTTCGGCAATGCGCAGTTCGTTTTTGCGGCAAGTAAAACACTCGAATTGTTTTTCGGGAACACTCTGTATATTATTTGTTTTTGGGGGTTATATATTTTCGACGGGGTTCGGCGCGATAAATCGATATTTATTGGTGTTTTTAGGGTGATAAAAAGAAAATCGATGTTTATTCTGCACCAGCGATAACAAAAGCGAGCATGGGCGCAAAAAAGCCAGTGAAAGTGCAGGGGTACTGAACATAAGATGTATTTTTTATTTGTTTGCTCGAGCCTTTGTTGATTGCATATTATCGAAAGCACATCGGTTATCATGTCTACATTCTTACGAAGCCGAGCACTGCGCACTCACGGAGATATCAACATAAAATAATTATAAGGGAAGAATCATCAATCAAACCTTTGGTGTTAACTTTTTTTTTTTTTTTTTCACTACTCAGGGAGAAAATTATTTAGCTATATAGACCTTTACAAAAATCGCCTTCAGCGAGATGCCATCTTTGTCCTGCTGGGCTGTGAAACGCTGCTGCTGGGCAGCAGCGTTCTTTGTCTGCTGGACTGCGCTGGTTCTCTGTATCAGACGCTGTGCATACGTCCACAGCTCAGTGACTCAGCATTTTTAGCACGGATGATAAGCGATGGAAAGGTCTATAGTGCACGCTGAGGTGTATCCCGCGAAATGCCTGGCTTCAAACATAAAAAAAAAAAAGTTGTTAAGGTTTTTGCAGAAATCTCTATTGCAAAAATATTTGCCGGATAAAATTTGTCCGCCTTGTCTTTCGTATACACCCGAAACGCAGTCCCTATTAATAATTTATTCAATTACACAATTGTAATTGCGGACGTAAAGATGCACCGCAGAAATGATTCTATAAATGCCGTATAATGTCTGCGATTATGAAATAATTTCAACTGCGAGAACAGCTGTTGAAATGCAAGTTCGATAGATTATATCTTTATGGGCATCAACTATCGAATATTTTTTGTTAAATGTAAAACATATATTAAAAAATTGGAATGCGACTGCTCTCAAAAATTGCTGCTGACAATGGATAACTAACTTCCAGCGACCCTTATCATCAAACTTCTATCAAATGCACGACAAACACTATTTCTATTTAAGGCGCGACCGTTTACATGTGTTTATAAGACGTAAGTGAAGAAAAACATACTGTTTCTTAATTTCTCCGCTAAATTTAGCGGGATAATTGACGTCACGTGACGCGATGTCACGTGAGATCCTGACGTCATATGACGTCAATTTTCACCCCAAAGTTGGGGGAGGTTTGTGGGGGGGGGGGGGGGGGGTGCACAGACGGATGGACGAACGGAAAAATTCCTAAAATTTAAAAGATTCGTAAAAAAAGAAAAAAAAAAGTATATATATATATAGTATATATTTTATGCTTTAATATTCCTCCTCCGCAGCCGCACCTTTGAATCTCGACATAAAATATCTTGATGAACATTTGACGAACATGTTAAAGCAAAAAAATACATGAAGCAACTGTTAGTAGTGCAACCACAGCTGCTTCATGCGCGCTGATGTCTCCGACAAGCCTCTCTTCATTGTAACGAGCTAGACGTATCTATGTCAGAGATAACGGCAGATAAGATTGATCCAAGCCCCGTGCGCAACCCGCTTATCTCCCGTAATGGGTTTTAGATATCCAGCAACAATTACGGTGATGTGCCGATGACGCACCCGTTGCTTGAAACTTTGTATCCGTATTGGCGAAACAAAAAGAAACACCTTAACCTTAATTGTACTCCTCTTGCTTCAAATACGTGTAAATATAATAAAATAAATATTATCATTCCATTTTTTTTCCTCTAATGCAAGGATTAAACGACGGCTTTACTCCCATTTGGGTGTAAGCAAATGGATTTTTTTTTTTTCGTGTGTAATTTCGGACCCGACTCTGCAAGCTTTCTTTCGGGCGTACCCTATGTGGACAAAGTACCGGTACCTTTCAGAGCTTAAATCAATCTATTTTGAAATAAAGAAGGGAGGTAGTTGACTCTCGAGACAATTCACGCCGTCCTAAAATTACAAGCCTGAAAAATGATGGCTTCGATGAAGTAACATTAAAGAGATAAAACGAATATCTAGCGTAGTTTGTTTTCATTCTGTCATTCGTATACGTGTACTACATCATGGAGTCACATGGTTAGAGAAGGACTTGTTACCTCGCCATCCCGAAACTTCCTTCTGACCAGATGTGCCTACCCAAAAACTACTCGGTTGACTACATGGATACCTCGACGTTTGCGTGGTACTATTATTAACTTATTCGAAACATAAAATGCAACGATACAAGATCCTTCGCACGCTAGCAACAGTCGTCCTCGACTCCAGCTCCTGACGGGTCATCAACAAGTTTGCCGAAGCTCAAGAGCCCTGAAATGCAAACCAAAGAGCCACTGTTATAAACCGGTCGCACTATCCTTCTTGCTGATAGGAGGCTACGGGCTGACTCTAATTGCCATCATAAGCAGTCTGAGGTCTATCCTTTCGGGCTTCCTTATCTGTTTAGAGTCGGAGAAAGAGACGTCGACCATCACGAAACTTGCTTCTACAGAGAATTGAGCGTTTCAACAGATCTGGATGGATGTGAGATTAAAAGTATCTTTTGGTGACCATATGAATCGCAACCTTTTTCTGGTTCTATCGCGAATTTATTTGAAACAAAAGAGACAGAGATACAAAAAAGACTACTTATCCCTCGAATGATAGCAACAGTTGTCTTCGACTCCAGCTCCTGGCAGGTCATCAACAACAACCTAGCCGAGGCTTAAGGGGACTGAAATGCAAACAAAAAGGCCTACGCTATCCAGTGGTCGCACTATCCTTCTTGAAGATAGGAAGATATATGTGGTGACTCTAATTGCCATCATAAGCTGGCTGAGGTCTATCCTTTCGGGCGTCCTTATCTGTTTACGGACCATCACGTGAGTTCCAGTTGCCATGTCTCTTTGATGTTCGCGCCAGCAGCGGTCTTCGGTGAAGAAAAGTGCTAGCACAGCTGCCCTTCATCGAAAACCGTCACTGCATGTGGTGCGGTGATTATAGGAGTATACATTTCCCACCGTGGCCCACATAAGATGCAGTCGAACAAGGACACGTGTCCACACAATTTATACCCATGGATGGATGGACGGATATACATTAACCTTTTTAATCGGGCGGCGGCTTGCGCCACCTAGCCGAACTTTTTTTTTTCTTTTTTTTTTTTGCATAAAAACAACACCGAGCAGCGAAAGCTCGAACTAGGATTGGTGTTCAAAAGGGGAGTTGCGCTACCTCTCCAGCCTTGTCTGTGACTAATCTGTTCCCATTTTGCTTGAAATAAGCGCCGCGTCGCAGCAGTGACATGACGCTTGTTTCAAGCGTTTCTTTTCGAGAAGAATGCGTTGCGCCAAGCGCCGTTACAGTGTAGCGACGTGGTTCTCATTTCAAGTACAATGGGAACCAATGAGTCACGGAGGAGTAAGGAGAGGTGGTGCAACTCCCGGTCGCCAATGGTAGTTCGAGCCTTCGCCGCTGCGTGAAGAGGGTATGCGCGTGCGCACAGCTCTTATTAAATAAAATCAATATTGTTACTGACATTCGGAGATCGGTAGCACCTGGCCTCGGAACAGTACCATTTCTGGTTTGTAGATTTTTGTGGAACCACGACCATTCATTTGGAGGAGCAGCATATGATTTTGTTCTTGTCTTCACCAGAACGTTATTGGTCACCGTGGATATCGTCATTTTCTTGCAGGTCCGCTTACAGACCCAAGATGGTTCATCTCCTAAGTACAGAGGGAGCATCGACTGCTTCAAAAGCATCATACGCACAGAAAAGGTATAACAATCAGGTCGATTTCATCTGCATTTTTGGCTGACATCCAGATGGCAGCCACGACGTCGCTCTAACGAAGTAGAAGTCATTAAATTGCTATCTGCAGCAATGAGAAAAGTGACTGCTTTGAATGGGATGGTCCAATTTTGCAATGCAAGTATGTATCCTAGGGCTTTCTTTAGATTGAATTTCTGCGCTATTTTTGATAATTACTTTTTGCGTATCAGTGTAAATCAGCGACTATCAAAATTTCGCCGGAGAATTATCTCCGGCGAAATTTTGATAGTCGCTGATTTGCCTCAAAATTGGTTGAACATATTATTAGACCCATCTGAACTAGTAACTGAAATTACCGTTAATTTTATTTTCTTGCGAAGTTTTTTTTTTTTTTTTTTGCATTTCCTTTTTAACACAAACGTTGTAATTTGGAGACATTACAGCTAAACTCACTTCAACAGAAGAAAAAAAAAACGCGACATATTGTTTTTTTAATTGCCTGCAGGTTTTGTTTTTTTACTTCATGGGACGTCATCCCCTGGAGAGCGCGCAGAAATTTGATGCTGGTTTTGACGGCAAGCTTTTTTTTTATCGTTTTCTCAATAGCTGCTTTCATTTTAGAGACAATACATACCTTGTCTGGAAGGGAATTAAGCCTGAATATACCAAAATGTGTTTAAATAACAAAAACAAAAAAAACGACGGTGTTTTTTTTTTTAACAATAACAAGATGAGACAAAAAAAAAAAAAAAAACTGGGCAAAAGCCACGAAGAAGAAAGAGTGTCCTGGGCACCATGGGTATTACCAAATCGCTCATATGCGGAGAGCGAGTCGTCTGCTTCTTGCTCAGAACTTGCAGTGACGTCAGAACGACACCGAGCTCTGATTGGCTTTGATTAAAAGGATAGTGGGTAGACCTCAATGCTAGATGCTTTGAGGTCTACTCACTATTATTTTTGTTTTTCAATCAGCCAATAAGAGCTCGGCGTTCTGACATCATCACAACTCCTGTGCAAGAAGCAGACGAACTTGCGCCCTGCATAGACCAACTGAACGCTCTGACGTCACGGCACCGCGGTGGCGCTGCTGTTGGCACTGCGCATGCGCAGACGCGCCACTCCTCCCGAGTTTGGTTTCTGCGCACGCTCACACCTGGTGTGGACAAGGCCGGCCTGTTTGTAAACAGTGCGTTGGTGTACGTACATACATATCACTGCGTAGTATCCAAGTTGCGTCATTTTCTTCGACTGATAGTGCAATGAAATTGCCTTTTTCTCTCGGCCGGCCCACAGGTACAAGGCCTGTTCCGCGGCATGACGTCGCCTATGGCCGGGGTGGCCGTGGTGAACGCGATAGTGTTCGGTGTCTACGGCAACGCCCAGAAGCAGCTCGGGGACTCCGCGTGGGCGCACGGCGCCTGCGGCCTCTTGGCCGGCTCGGTACAGAGCCTCGTCAGTAGTCCCGTGGAGCTCGCCAAGACCAGACTACAAGGTATGCAGTCTTCCACAGACCTGACCGAGCCGAAATGGGACTAGCGGCGAATTCGAATTGGTCTGCAACGGTGGACTTGATAGCAAGATCTCTTGTCGTTTGCTATGCCTCCTCCATGAATTGCACAGATTGGATTTCTTGCGTACATTGCAGAGATTGATTGATTAGTGTTGATGAATGAAAGACAAAGTGGTTAACCTAGATGTTTCTCCTAGCCGGTTCCCACACTAGAAAGCACGATGAAATGATTAAGATAATGATGAGTGAGATGCCGGGAGTGATGCTATACAAATCACTTCCGCGCATAAGCCCAAAGCTTTAAAAAAAGTCATGAATAAGGAACGGTATCAGAGCCTTGGACACATTTGCAGGTGTATCTATCGTGTTCCTTGCAAAACGCAACGTTTTCTGTAACAAAGCAACATTTCAAGTAGAGCCATGTTGTTCGGTTGGTAGCCGTAATAGTGCATTCACACCGAACATGTTCTACCGTCCCTTTTAGCTCACATTTAAAACAATCGTTGAGTATCGTATACAGGGATCAAATGAGAGCGAGAGAGAGAGGAAGAGGAGGAGGTGAGAGTGCGTCGGGAAACCAGAGCACCGAGCTCCGACTGGAATGATCAGTGCATTGACGCAAAGCTAGCTGCTTTTGTCTCTATTCACTGTTCGAACAGTGATTCCAATCAGAGATCGGCACTCCGACCTCCCCTGCGCGCTCTAGTCTCCTCCTCTCCTTCGGTTTCTACCGAATAGCCTCTGCTCTTAACCTTGGTCACGGTGTCCAGTTGCCAGACACGACAGCATATAATAATGCTCGCATCATCGAAACAATGCAATGAACCGTGCGTACTCGACTGTGTCCTTTCGTTCCAGTGCAGGGTCAGGGCAGCTCCAGAGCGTACTCGGGCCCCCTGGACTGCCTGCGCCAACTGCTGCGCGCCGAGGGCTGCCGGGGCGTGTTCCGGGGCCTCGGCTCGACCGTGCTGCGAGACGCTCCGGCGTTCGGCGTCTACTTCGCCAGCTACGAGCAGCTGGTGCGTCGGGGCACCGGCGGGCCCGTCCACCTCATGGCCGCGGGGGGACTCGCGGGAGTCCTCTCCTGGATGGTGTCTTACCCGTGCGACGTGGTCAAGTCGAGGTTGCAGGTGGACGGCATGACGGGACCACGCAGGTAGGGTACACCTACAACTCTATCTGGGGAATCTCGATGTTCTTCTCCTTATAGGGTGGTGCAACTAACTCTTTATGGATAGTAACTGATGTCGACAGCACGCGATCAGAGGAAAGATAGAATTAAAAGGCGCCAGTCAAAGTCAAAGACTGTGGCCGATAGACGTTCTTTTACGTTCTCCTGAGCAAAAAAAAAAAAAAAAGGTATGGATATAAAACACGTCCGTCTTGTTTCTATGTGGAAAGTTTGCATGATCTTGCTGATGAAAAAAAAATAGTTTAAAACAATTCTTTGGGTACCCGCATTTCGCTGATCCCTTTCTCTCTCTCTCTCAAGGATTGAATAGTTTAATGACCCTTTAAGAGATCTCCCCCACTCCAAAATAAAGAAGAAAACGGAAAGCTCGAAAGAAGACAACATCATATCTAGTGATCTCGCCTATTCGACATCGACAGGAGCCCCCGGTGATGTCTCTCAACGAAGACAGATCAGTCAAGCAGATCGCACTCGTCCCCGCAGGTACTCCGGCTTCTGGGACTGCGCCGTCAAGAGCTACCGGAACGAAGGCGCTGGCGTCTTTACTCGCGGCCTCAACTCGACGCTGCTGCGCGCCTTTCCCACCAACGCGGCCATCTTCACCGTCGTCACCTGGGTGTTCAGAGCCTTCGATCCCAGCGCGGAAGCCGACCTCCACCCGCACCCACACCACCACCACCACCACCCGCCCGTCCACTTTGACCCCGAGCTGCATCTTAGTAGGGTTGCCGTTCTCATGGACTTTCACTTTTAGTCTTAGACGTATACCACGACTGAGTGTATACCAATATAAGTTGATGGCTTAGTTTGTTAAACGTAACAAAAACAGCGCGAAAGGACAAAAGAAAAGTAGACGACTAGACAGGACAAGCACTACTTTCAGCTGACGTTTTCATGAAAAGACAAGGTCCTGTCCTGTCCAGCCTTCTACTTTTCCTTCGTCTTTCGCGCTAACCGTTTTTGTGAGATGAGTGCTCCGATTGGGGGGGTCCAATCCAAGACAAAGAGCCTATACAGATCACGATATCCCTGTGCAGGCCGATGCAGGTTGCAAAGCTCCCCAAACCGAGAAAAATCTAGATCATAAGGTCCTTGTGCAGGCAGTGGTCCATAAACTAGATTCTTATTCCGTCGCAGGCGGCTCCACGTATAAACACACTCGTGCATTGTAGCACGTCATAGAAGATCTACTTCCCGATAGAGTATAATAATAATAATTTAACGAGGATATGGGGTGTAAACAGGCCCGGGGATGCAAATTGCCCGCGTACTATCTCTCGGTCAAGGTGGTTTCGTTTTATAGAGGGGCACATCCTGTTTGTGAGAAATGTCCGCTACTTTGGAAGAGCGCCCATTCATCGAGTTAGCCTCTAATTTTGATCCACCGAAGGAGTATTTCTAACTCAATCTTGAGATCCCTGTGGTGTCTAAACTGGCTTACCATGTCTGTCACGGGGGAGCAGATGGGACAGTTGTTTTTAAACATTCTAGTAGTCGAACTATTTTGCGATAAGTAATGTTAAAGGAAGGGTTCTTCTAAAACGCCCATCTAAAGCGGCGTATGTGACTGACATATCCGAGTACCTTACACCAGCCGCGTACCTCACCAGTAACGGAAGCCGCAATTTCTGCAACAGCCTCAAAGTACTATGGATGTGCCAACCACGGTACTTTAAGGCTGTTGCAGAAATTGCGGATAAGCATATTTATTACTCCAATACCACACTGCTAAGGCACTGAAGATAAAGTTCCTTTCCATTCACTATTTTAAGCTTGTGAAAGTTTGGCGCCACTAGACTATCCCTAAAAGCCTTTTCCCCAATAAAACGGCGAATACTTTTAAAGCGTGCGTTAAAAAAAAATGTGCAGCACGTTTACGTGCACCAGAGTTGCACATGACATCAGTGAGACGGAAAGCTGCGCAACAAGCCTATGCCTTGCTCTCAGTTTACACGAGTGCTTGTGGACAACAGATATACTGAAAATCTTTAGAATATAGATTCAGGAGTTGTATATTTCAGTCTGCCGGTGGTCTTCTCGGGTCTACGCCATATTTCTCGCATCTTTGTGCTGAGTCCAAGCTAGGCAAATATTCAGCTACCTCTGGTCGCAGATGCATCGCAGGAACACCTTGTTGGTAATCCGGTCACACTTTAGTAATACCACTTGATCACGAACGTGCGCTTGTTCGTTGCCACACGGTGGGCGTGAAACGTCACAAAGGCTAGCGACAAGGTGTTTTTGTCTTGTTTCTGAGCACAGTTGGTCGAATGTTGGTACAATGCGATTCAGCCCATTGACTTTCAAGAGAAGGTATGTATTGCCTTGTGCTTTACAAGCAAGGCAAGCGCGATCGCATGCAGTCTGCCAAGTCACGGTAGTGTTTGCATTGTGTGAAGATGGATAGGGCATTATGTTGCATGAACTGAAAATTGTCGCATTAGCCTTACGAATGGTGCCCATTCCCCGGTGTCGGTTTGCGATATCGGTTTGCTCTGTAGAGAATCGTTGAGGACGGGAAAACGTTTTTTGCGATTTCAGATAAGGCTTCGGGTAAGTGACAACAAAGGTTTACGCAACAATGTGTCTGAAGTGTTGTTACTTTGCTAAAGCATATAGCTTATGTTAACACTCAACAATTGAGCTCTCCTAAAATCGAATCCAATAAATGTTTTTGTTTGAACACCTGTTTTTTTGTCTGTTCGAAGTGGTTTCCTTTGATCTTAAAAGTGTGGGCATGTGGTAAATGTCAAGATAAGGAGAGATAAAACAACGAGGCAATGACACATTGTTGGCGGATATCAGCATCACCCATCCCATGCAAGTGTCTTTATGGTGCATTGTCTCCACCGGTGCAAATGTACTAGTCGCCACAACTTTGAGATAGGGACACCATTATCTTCATGTTTTTAATTTAGCAACTCTAACTGCAATCTTGTCAAGGGTATGAGAGTTGCGACAAAATACCCATCATAGATATGAACTGTTTTAACGTGGAACGTTTATAGGCCAAGTTTTCAGACGTAGTGAAACCCCAAAAAGCTTAAACGCGAATTTCCCCGCTAAAATTAATGGGGAAAATAACGTCACATGGCTTCCTGTCACGTGACCTATACAAAATTGCAGTTTTCCCGCTAAATTTAGCGGAAAAATTGACGTGACCTCTACACAAATTCAGTTTCCCCGCTAGGGACAATTGACACGTGATCGACCGCAGCCCGTCATTCCCCATACTTCCTGGACACAGGCTGAAACGACGGGGAAAGTCAATGGGTCAGTGAGGTGCACAGAAGTGGGTGGAGTCGAGGGAGTGCAGAAACCTGGAGGCCCAGCTCGAGAAGAAATGCCTGGAGGTTATTAGCACTAAACTAAGAATGTTTCACGTAGCAACACAATTGCAGGGCAATTTGCCATACATTTTTTTTTCAGTGCAAAATTTGATACCCTTACAGTGGCATGCAGTTAACTTAAACAGCCACAAACAAAATACCGCTACCAGTGACGTGGATTCTCTTTTTCCCATTGGGGGAACGACAAAATTGGAACGTAATTATCATCATCGTCATTTTTGTACGGTAGTTTTGAAAGGAAGAGTGGTACTTAATACATTACAGATATATAGAAACCAATTAACACGCCGGCACAAGCATAATCATAAGCACATTACAAGGTATCCGGGTTAAAGGGGTACTCCGGCGATTCGTTGAGATACCCCAACTAACTATATTGTCTAGGGTTGTGCGAATAATCGAAATTTCGAATAGTAGTTCCGAATAATACACTATTCGATATTCGCTCCGAGAAGAACTGCACTATTCGCGTTTTTCGAAGTGTTGATTGCGGCGGGTTAGCCCCGTTGAGTGCGCTTCTCACCACACACCGGTGCGCTGCGGAGAAGCAATACCCGCGGAAGCGAGCTCCGCAGGTGTTGCTTCTCCGCAGCGCACTGGTGCTTGGTAACAAGCGCACTCAATGGGGTAACCCGCCGCGATAAACACTTGGGAAAAGTATGAATATCGTAATTGCGTGCTTGGAAGTAAAGCATACATTCAAAGCGGGATGTGCCGACTGTATTCGAAGATAAATAAAAAGTTTGTGAATGTGTATATCTACAATGTAATAAAAGTTTCAAAATTAGACTGTTATGCAAGAGATGCTCTTAAAACCTGTGTTCATCATATACAATTCATTATTTTTAAACTCGAGATTAAAGAAAGAATATGTTATATAGCAAGATGTGTATATTCACTCTTTTGGGTATAGTTGGCCATCCCTACAGGATTCATTTTATGTCAATTCCGTCGTTTACTTGCTATCCCAAGACACCAGACCTTCTGAGGGCACAGTTCATAAACATAGATAAACTTAGTTTTTAAATAAACAAGTGAAACAACCTTCACAAGTTTAGCTGGGTTTTCATCTAAGTATTATGCAATGGTAGTGAAATGCGTGGAAAGACTATTCGACATTCGAATCGAAAATATTCGGGCAAAACCACTATTCACTTCCAATTCGCTTCGAACTCAAAATCAACTATTCGCACAAGACTAATATTTTCTGAACCCTCGGCGTTTACCCTTCCCGGTATGTTAATTAGTATCGCGAAATTCAAAATAGTTATTGTGAAATCGGCAAATGAAAATGTTGCAAAAACCAACATTCAAATATACACACAGTTTTCAGTGCCGTAAGCGTCAGTGGAAGGGAGGCTTGCCAGTAGAGCAAGCAGTCTAAAAAATAGACTATGCCAAGTATTTGTTCCGTGCTTGTGCGCGGGCACTGGAGCGAGCTCACAAAGAATTCACTTGACATCATGAAACAAACTGCTTGTAATTAGTTGGGAACAAAATCCACAGCCTCGAGAGTGAACGCATGCCTTCCATTGGTGTCACTTTTTCGTTGTTGCCGGTAAAAACTTCCAGTTAAAAAAAAAAAAAAAAAAAATTGTAAATTCAATAATTTTGCAAAAAAAATTAATATTTTGACCTAATAGTTAAGATACTATTTCAGCCATGTTCGACGGCATATATAGCGATTTTTAAAGCAAATCGGGTACAATGAACAAGTCGCCGGAGTAGTGCCAGGACAGTGTTTTCTCTGCATGCACGTCCACTTTGCCTGAAAATTTTCTTACAGGTCGTTTTTCACCACGTAGTAACACTTATTTCATGCAATGCTGATCGAGGTCTTTGCATTGGTATGCAAGTTGCACGATTGTAAAACAGGAATTATACATCTATAACCGAGCCAGATTGACACACTATGTGCGGTGACATAGGGACAACGTCAAAGAGGAACCGGTAATTAAAAGAAGGCGACAGATGCGAAAGCTTGTCCCAATTCATGATAAACATAAAACACAAAAGATGTGAATAATTCATGTGTACTTGACTGCACAAACGAGTTCCACGTCAGAACAGTTCTATTCTGTACGAACATAAGAGATAATGTAAAAGCATGCAGGTAATTTCTGAAACAAAGTATAGCTCGTCAAAAAACGAAACCTAAGAAAGTTCACATAGTGAAGTAGGATTGAAATATGCATTCCTGAGTGATGTAAAAAGTCGTCAGAGGTTGCTCATTACAAACCTTTGAGTTCATCACCACACTGTGCAAAATTTAGCCTTATGTTCTGCGGTTCTTTATACAAACTTTAGAATTAAGAACCCAAGCTTCGGATAGAGTGCTGCGCACATACAGCAAGAGTAGGTGCATAAGCCTTTCCTGTGACACTGTGCTTTGAAAGCATGTTTTTAAACATTGCAGGGCACTGAAGGACCGTTTGGGTGTGAAAGTTTGGAAACTTCGTCAAAATAAACTTAGAGTGTAAAGCTTGGTTCTTCAATCCGTAAACACCTTGCGAGTCATAAGGCACACCCAGCACATTAGACAGAGCATAGGATAGCAGCAGTGGCGTACCAACTTGTTTATGAGTGGGGGGGGCAAGCCAGACCCCCCCCCCCCTCCCCCCAGGGCTAAGGGGCGGTTCCCTTGGTCGCTGCCGGCCAGTGTTTGCCCTACTCAATGGCGTACAAACTTGTGTTTGCCCTCACTCTGAGAACTGAGGGGCGAACGCCCCCCTTGCCGCCCCCTCCCCTCCCCCGTTGGTATGCCCATGCATAGCAGTTTCTAAGTTTGTTCTTCAATACCAATGTATGGGATTCGACAACCAATGTGCCACCAGCAGTGGTTGACACTGAGCACCCACGGCACAAATTGTTTTGACACAAACACAAAAAGGAGAAGATTTATTATTCATTCATCATTTGACTAGACCACAGGATGTGGCCAGGAGCTTGTTCATTCCGTGTACGAGGCCTCAGAAAAACAAAGGCACGCAAGACATCACTGCTGCTCGCCCAGAGCCTACGAGGCTATTTGGCCCCGAAATGCTTCTCCACAACTGAGTCTGCAGACTTATACATATTCCCTATGACGACCTGAAAGAATAAAATGAAACAAATTGTCAATGCTGCAATGGTCCCCATTTTCTCAGATTTTGACAGTGGTACCGGGATGATGCGAGTACACGGCAGAGTTATTAGTACTTACTAAAAACATGTTTTTATATTATTTATTGTAATCAGTTAGTACAGTGATTTTCAGCTAATGATGTTTCGCGGACCCCTTGTGGATCGGCGGATATCATGGAGGGCCCAGTTCGTGGTGAGGGGAAGGGAAAGTATAGGTTAATCATGATAGTGCTTTAGTAAATGGATATAACTAAGGGCTAGTGTGAAGTAGACTTCTCTTACTGACATATACATGAGAAAATGCCCCCAAAAATTGGAACGTTTGATTTTAATCTGAAAAAAGACAACTTTTGTTTCCAGGTTTGACTGATGAGGCTGGGTTTCACGGAACCCTAGAATGGCCTTTGCGGACCCCCATTTCAGAACCACTGAGTTTATACGTCTTGGCAGTACTAATAATGAAATAATTTCCTCGCTTTTTTTATCAATATAGAATAATCAGGACAGTAACTCCATCCATTCCTCAGGTAAAGTGCTCATGATTGAGATACTGCTTGTTGTCTGGTTAACTAGTAATTTTGTTCTCCAACATTTAAAGAGGCAGTGCAACAATGTTAGGAATTCGGTCAAATAATTGTGAGAGTTGTTCCCTGTCAAGTCTGGATTAAAGAACTGGAAACCAATTTTGCCTGCGCACATTAGTTCTTTTGAAAAAGATTTTCAAACAATTGATGCTTTGGGTACCTCCCAACCACTCTCAACCCTTACACCGTCTTTTGAGGCCTGTGTGCAGTGACATAAACCAAGTAAAATTAAAAACTGCAAATTCTTTCAAAGCTAAAATTGTTGCACTACCCTTTCAAAAAAAGAAATTGACCCATCAAGCACTACTTATGTGAGATTGTAAAATTTTCTTATGTTAAAAAGCTCTAATAAGGAAATAATGTTGCAGGTAAAAATGCTTTCTTTTTTCGTTTTTTTTTTCCTTCCGTGCATGTATACTTTCTAAAATCTTCCAGCTGTTTGGGGACAACATAAAGCATGGACTGATGAATCAATCGAACATTCATTTATTATTTTATTAGTGAATTAGTTGATTGGCATTTATCCTGCCCCAACATTAGAGGGCCAGAAAATATGATGCATTCGTGATATTGAAAGGGAATCTCAAGTGTTAGGCAAAATGACATCACAGTTTCAGAAGCAAGTGTGCCTGCATAGTACACAAGCAATGAAGACAAAGTGGTCACCAGCCGTCTGCCGCTACAAGTGGTTTTCGGGCTTTCCATGACACACTGCAGCTACCAAAATATTAGGGCACAGGCACCAAGCCGTACCTGACACAAACCGAGTCTTTCGTTTTGTACCCTGTATACAAGCTGCCAGAAGAGCAGCGCATGATTAATTAGTTCTAAATTAGTACCAGATGCCTGGGAAGAAAGTTCACAGCGAGTTTCTCGCCACAAAAACAAACTATGCAATGCTGATTGTTCAGTCCCCACCCAGATGTAGTAGTGCTAGCAAACAAGACCAGTTGCCAAAGTTTCAGAGCTTGCCATTATATGATTGAAAATTTAAAAACATTGTTTCTGAAGTTTTCAATGAATGAAAAAATTGGGCCCGTTCGCAGTAGCTGACGCCATTCATCTCCACGTATCCGGGGGCTTTGTCGGCCACCGTTTAGACATTAAAAATTTCGGAAAAAAGCATACAACTTTTTAATCGGATAACAGCAAGCTCTGTAACTTTGCCATCTGGTCCAGACCGCTAGCACTACACTTGGGCAGTGACGAAAACGTTCGACGATGCATAGTTCATTTCAGCTAAGGGGAAAACGCTCTAATCTTTTTTTCCAAGATGCCCGGTAGCTTGGACAAGAGCTGCCAAGGTGCCTTGCCTGTCTTTTGATGATCTCGAGGTTCTTGAGGCCCTCCTGGAACAGTTCGTTGATCTCGGTCTTGTCCTGCACAGCCTTGTGCTCCTTGAAGAGATCCCGGACGCGCCGTAGTGCGTGAGACCTGCACCCGCAGAACAAAGGACAGCTTAGTCCACAAGACACTTTTCAAAAGTGCACACCATCTACTAGCTGTGCCAATCATCCGAGACTGCTATTGTTTGGGCACAAACTCTGAGCACTTATTGGACATGAGGGCTGCGTCAGCATTGGGCGTGACCTTGGCTCATATAAAGAACGAGTGTGGTTTCGGTATTCGGCGAAAACTGTGATCCAATCACATGCTTCATGCCCATGAAATGGCGACCGCTGATGTTGCTCAATGTGTTTTTGAGAAAGCTCTATTCTCAAGTGACATGTCTAAACTGGCTTGTTGGGGTTAATCGATTACGGCTTCAAGCAGTACACGTCGGTTCCCATGTGGTCAGCCCAACGAGCTTGAGTAAACTTAGAGGGGTAAACCAGCGGCCAAAAATGGCGCCCCCTTGGTTGCTGCCATCTTGTCTGTTTGCCACATTAGTCATCACTCGACATTAAGGTGGCTGCACCCAGAGATGGGCCAGATCAGATTGGCCAGATCACGGTCAGTAGATGGGCCATCTGGGGTTGTGCTCGAATCTTACTCAAATGGATCCCAGTTATTCCGGTAAATCAAGTCCTGTGACAAGACAGATACCGCACTGCTGGATGCAGGTAGGTTTTCGAACGCAACGGGTACAAGACCTTTACCCAAGAGTAAGATAGAGCCAATTTTGGAACACGGCACCCTGGATAGGGATTGAGCCGAGCGAGCAGGTGTGAGCTGGCCTAGCGCGGCTGGCGCGGCGACGGCGGTGCGAGTCGCATTGAACCGCAATGATTGTGTTGTGGGAGAATGGTAAAGTTCCATGTGTGCCCCGTTTCGCTAGGCAGATGATGAGCAAATAGGATCGGGTATGCACGTATCGCACAAGATCTGACCAGGTAGGGGCACCGATCTGGGAGGATCGATCGTATATGTGAAACATTGCGTGGATCCGATCCGAGAAGGAATGCTTGAAAGCTCTCACACATTCCTTCTCGGCTTCCACTCGTAGATACTCTATATGTCCTGCGTATCTTTCTTTAAGAGCCATGAACATTCCGATGGTTGAGTGCAGCAAGAATGCAAGACTTTCATGCGAGATATCCACGAAATGTCTGACACATACGATCGATTCTCTCGGCAGCAGCTCGAGAAGCTACTGCCGAGAGAATCGAAGATAAGACATGTGTTACAGGATGCTAAGGTGGTCCACTATTCTCAAAAATTCCAAATGACACTGCCTGCACGGTCTTCAACAAGGTAACCTACAACGAAAGTGTGTATTGTCCTTTTATACAGCAGTGTGGTAAATTTTAATGTTCTAGGCCACACCTAAAGATAAAGAATACCAGTTCATTCCGCTGCGACGTCATGTGATCAATGTTGACAAGGGCGTCCTTATTGGACAGGGGCATGTTGACGTTCTGGTGGGATTTAGGGTGACACAGAATTTCTTCAGAGGTCAAAGTCTTTTCGCATCCCTGGCCAGAAAGACAGGATGTCAGGGAAGGAACCGAGGTCAGTCCTCGATGGAATGTTTTTTTGAGTAAATTGAAGACTCCTCGTCCGAAACCACCACCTTCAAGGCAAAGTGGCCTACGGGAAAGTAATTTCTGGACCAAAAACTTCCACTTCAAACTTCAAGCTCCATCTCAGTTGGCATCTCAAACAAATGTGACAAATCTATTGCAGTATCAGTATTTCTGTATTTATATTTCTGCCCTCCCTAATTGTATTCCTTTATTTGTATTTCCAAAGACGTTTGCCTTTATTTAAAAAGTATTTCCGATACATACATTTTTACAAATATATTTTAGTATCAGTACTTTACCTGCTTTAGTGTATCCCAGTATTTGTATTTTCAAATACATTGTTAAGTATCTCTGCCCAACCCTGTCGCCATCCAGGCGGCCGTGTTCCAAAATTTCCTCTAGCTCGCTTTTGGGTAAAAGTCTTGTACCCGTTGCATTCGAAAACCTACCCGCGTCCAGCATTGCTGTATCTGTCTTGTCACGTGCTTGATCCGCTGGAATAACTCGGATTTATTTGAGTAAGATTGGAACACAACCCCAGATGGCCCATCTGCCGACCGCGACCTGGCCAATCAGATTTGGCCAGGGATGGGCAGTATTTCAAATACAAGTATTTAAAACACGTATTTCAAATACTTTGTGTATTTTGCATTTGTATTTAATTACAAATTGGGTAATGTATTTGACGTGTGTATTTAAATACTAAAGCGTGAGTATTTCAAATACAATTGTAATTAAGTACAATTTTGCGGGCGAAAATACATCCCTCAAATTTATTGTCACTGTCCAGAGCAGGAAGAAAACTATGTTCCGCACCGATTGCAGTGTCTCCCAATCAAGCACAAGCGTTTAGTGACTTTTTGATTACGGTGCTAGTCTAAGGCAAGAATAGTGACGAAATCAACGTTCACAGGCAGCCTAGCTAAATAAGTGCCTGTGACAACTTGTGATGCTTTCCAGCCTGATTTCCATCCATATTTTTGCCTTATAAATGAATAAAGGGCAAACGCCAACCAATCCCTAAAAAATCGTAGGGTCCCAACGTTTCGGTGCCGGCTCGGCACCTTCTTCAGGGGGGCTATTTAAAGGAGAAGCAGCTTCTTTCTTTTCTTCTGCGGTGAATGTAACGCAGTATCTTTTTTTTTTTTTTTTTTTTTTTTTTTTTTTTTTACGGTGGTTAGTTTTTTAACTAGGTGCGGTACCTTCGTTTTCTTCGAAGTTGGTTATTTACAAACGAGGATCAGCATCTTCGTTTTCCTCTATGGTAGGGGCCTGTTTCTTTGGTGTTTTCTCTAAGTGTCGTAGTCCACTGACGTATGCTGAGGGCAAGGTGCCGGAGGATCGATTAATATTTCCTGGTGTGGTCTGTATGCGCCATGACTCAATAAAGAGTCGTTGCCGCCAGTTGGTTTCTACATCCAGGATTCGGGTATTTTCAAAGTCGATGCGGTGGTCATTGTCCTCGCAGTGTTCCGCAACAGCGCTACGCTCTCGATCGAATTTCCGTACGTCATTCTTATGTTGGCGGACTCTTTCCTTGAGGTTTTTTGTTTCGCCGACATATGAAGCGGAACACTCAGCACAGGGAATCTGGTACACAATGCCTTGTGCTTTTTCTCTCGCTGGACGGTCTTTCGGATGAGGCATTAGGCGCCCAAGTGTCAAAACAGGTTTGTGAGCCACCTGAATACCTTCTTTGGCCAGCGTACGATCCAGAGTTTCGCTAGTTCCCTTTATATAAGGTACACAGACGCGGATGTTAGGGCGGGACTGCGTGCTATTCTGTGGGTGCTCAAGACTGCGACCAAGACGACGGGCAACACGGCTGATGAAGCTGTTGGTGTAGCCATTCTTTTTGAGGTCGGCGATGACAGCCTGTTCTTCACTTTCTTTATCTTTCTTTGAGGAGCAGATGTTCCGAGCTCTGGACAACAGGGTCGCAACTACCGACGCCTTGTGACTCGAAGGGTGGTATGAGTCAAACCGAAGGTAACGTCCAGTGTGGGTCGGCTTCCTGTATACAGTGAACTTCATGTCTTCACCTACTCGCTTGACAAGCACGTCCAGAAACGGCAAGGTGCCGTTTTTTTCAAGCTCTAATGTAAACTGGATGGCCGGCTCGATGGAGTTGAGGTGAGCTAAAAAGTTGTCCACCTCTGATGTTTTTAGGATACAAAAGCAATCATCGACGTACCGTAGGAACACTTTGGGGCTAGCCGGAAACGAGTGCAGCGCCCTTTGTTCGATTGCTTCCATCGTCAGGTTTGCCGTAGTGACCAAAATAGAAGCTCCCATTGCGGTTCCGCTGGTCTGGCTGAAGAACTCTCCTTGGTAGCTGAAGTAGGTGCTGTGAAGGCAGAATTCAAGGAGGCAGCATATTTCATCCACGCTAAGGCAGGTTCTTTCGTTCAGGTCTTTCTCCTTTTCGAGAGCGTTCCTGGCTGTGGCTACAGCCAGGGGCACTGGAACGCTTGTGAACAGTGAAATTACATCGAATGACACTAGACTGTCCTCGGTGGTGACCTTGAGTTCTGAAACGAGCTCCACGAAATGACCGGCGTTTCATACGTTAGTTGGCGTTCTTCCGACGAGAGGGGAAAGGGTGCGATGGAGGTAGTTGGATAGCGCCCGAAGCGGTGACGTTGTAAAATCCACGATAGGCCGGAGGGGAACATTTGGCTTGTGGATCTTAGGGAGTCCATAGAGCCCAGGAGCAGAACCATTTCGGCATATGAGCCGTAGGTAAAGGTTCTTTGATTCTGGATGTTTTTTGAAAATTCCCGCCAGAAGTTTGTTCAGATTTGTCTGAACTTGTGTGGTGGGGTCCTTTTTGAGTTTCTGATAAGCCAACTGGTCTTCCCGATCTAGGACAACCGTCGAGTTACCCTTGTCCGCCGGAAATGGTTCTGCTCCTGGGTTCTATGGACTCCCATTCTACCATTCTACCCATTCTACCAACTGGTAGAAACCAACTGGCGGCAACGACTCTTTATTGAGTCATGGCGCATACAGACCACACCAGGAAATATTAATCGATCCTGCGGCACCTTGCCCTCAGCATACGTCAGTGGACTACGACACTTAGAGAAAACACCAAAGAAACAGGCCCCTACCAATGAGGAAAACGAAGATGCTGATCCTCGTTTGTAAATAACCAACTTCGAAGAAAACGAAGGTACCGCACCTGGTTTAAAAACTAACCACCGTAAAAAAAAAAAAAAAAAAAAAAAAAAAACCCGATGATACTGCGCTACATTCACCGCAGCAGAAAAGAAAGAAGCTGCTTCTCCTTTAAATAGCCTCCCTGAAGAAGGTGCCGAGCCGGCACCGAAACGTTGGGACCCTACGATTTTTTAGGGATTGGTTGGCGTTTGCCCTTTATTCATTTATAACATTTAACCCAACCAGGCAGACGTCTGCCGAAATGTTCACCTTCAAATATTTTTGCCTGGAACATTCTAAATGCGCGGGTCGTCCAGATTTTCGTAAGTGGTGTGAGTTGCAACAATAAAAAATTATCTAGCTAGTGCTGCGCGTTTTGGTCGTCTCAGTTCTTTGTTGGTCTATACCAAATGTAATCTACAAAAAAAGCTGCTTGAAGCTCTGCACTTGTTTCACCTATTACGTCCAAGCTGATTACATTTTTTTGTGATTATATTTCTATAACATTACTAGAGTCTCGCACACTAACTCCCGAGTGTGCGATGCAAAATTAAAATGAGATACCCAGAAACCTGTTGCAGTTGCCCTGAAGTCGCTGACGCAAATTTTGAGGAATGTATTTGGAAAAGTATTTGAAGGAGACCAAATACATTTGGTTGTATTTGTATGTTGTACTTAAATGCTTTTTTGGAAATGTAATTAGATTTGTAATTAAATATGTTTTTGACGAAGTATTTTGTATTTGTATTTCGATACATATTTGCATGTATTTTGCCCATCCCTAGATCTGGCCTACCTATGGGTGCAGCCATGTTAATGCCACGTGATCACTAATGCGACAAACAGGCAAGATGACAGCAATCCTTGGTTTACAAAATAGTGCATGCCGCCTATCGCGCAATGCCGGAAACTTAGACATTTCGGGTGCGAGGCTGGAAGGTGGTTGGAATACAACTAGGCTTTGCAATGTATGGTTTGGCTTGATACATGTGGGGCGTAAAGCTGGTGCACGCAGTCTATTCCAAGCGTTACCTCGAGACCCAGATTGAATAGTGTGGAAAATTCCCTCCAGGAGCGTATGAAAACGCCATACCCGTGACAAAATGTGCACTGCAGATCTATCGGTGCTCGTTCGGCTGCCATGGTGAGCCGTCCATGTTCCTTCCCCTCACGGCAGCTATCCAAGCCCGTCTTAGCAGGATACAGCCTGGCAGACGGAAATCTAAAAAAACTTGGCGTTCCTCGCTTCCGCGCCTCTGTCGCAGCCTAGGAATAGCCGGCATGCTTATTTGTTTTCCAACCAAACGGGACGCTAGCAACACGCTCTGCTCGCGCATGGGCAGCAGCTTTTTTGAAAATTGTGGATGGGGGGGGGGGGGGGGGGCATTTCTGCTGCAGGCCGTGGGTTCCGGTTTACTGCTCTAAGGTAAAAAGGGTTCTTATTGCATGACTTCTCGCTTTTTCACGCTCCAGTGATCAATGGAAGCCAAAAGAATACTCAAGCTCATTGGGTCAACCAAATGAATTGCATACTGCATAAGCCCCACAGATAGACCCTTATCAAGTATTTCTGTTATTTCGTGTCCTTTTCACGATTCGACTTGGCAGGTGCTCTCAATGTGCGACGAGATTGGAAGCGTGCAAGTGCCACGGAAAGTATGAATGTGCACCTGGTGAGTACTATGTAACATTGCTACATAATGCCGACAGTTGGGTTTGCAGTAGAATTTCCTTTATTTCTTTATTCTCGGTTTGAGAGCGGAAAATTATTGTGTAAAAGACAGCGTGTGCAGGCGCTCCGACAGGTCAACATACACTGCGAGGGAAACAAATACGGAGCCAGTTATTATCAAAAGATTATCTTCAGGTGTCCTTGGCTAATATTTCATTAAAAGTGAAATGTAAAAATTAAAATAAAACTAAACTAGAGAAAACTTATGCACCATGACCCGTACACAAATACAATCAAACTTACAATTCAATTCTTTTCTATTAAAAAAAAAAAAAAAAAACTTGTGAAGTGTGGTGTATTTGCACTTGGAAGCTTTTATTCGGAAATATTTCCCCGTTTCTATTTTATTATAGGTGATGTGTGAGCATCCAGACGAGAATAAACGCACATATTAGTTGCCGGAAACACTCCCCGTTGTCCAGTGGAGAAACCGAAAGCTATCACCAAGCAACAAAGAGCACGCAATTTCGGAAGTGTTAGAAATTCGCCGCCTTTTTAATAACTAAACACAGGGGCGATAATAGCTGTTCCGATATTTAATACCTCTGATCCTGCCCACAAGTACCAGATTGGAACGAGCTCGTGGCATGACGCAAAACAACATATTGCGTAACCAACTGCGCAAGGGTCCAACCAGTCCAACTTCCCGCACTGCGACGATGTGTTCGCCGATCAGTTTCTTTATAACGCTCCCGCTTGCCTGTACATGAACAGGTGCGGTTCCCAGGAACGACTGTAAGAAGTGTAAATGTAACTCGCCTGTAAATGTAGCTCTTGAAGTGCCCCGATTCCCGCATCAGCTGCTTGTACAGGCTCAAAACTTCTCTCCGGGAGGCCGCCATGTTTAAACTATCATCGTCATCACCCGCCGCCAAAATATCAACAAATACAGTAGTTATGTGACTTATTGTACTTCACGCTGTCAGAATTATTAGTGAATAACTATGATATTAAATACATATTTCCACATATATAAATGTCACAAATGCAAGTTGAATTGGGTTTCGACTTGCGCTCTCTCTAGCCAGTAACTGAAGACATATTAAATTAGCACTTTTTGATTGTTTGATAATTTCGGTAGTTAAAATTTACACATACACATGTATACTATACTTATTTATAAAAAAATTATATAGAATAAATCAATGAAAAGGAGGAGAACGCGCAACTTAATCCAAAAAATTACTCGAAAAGTCATGTGATTCCAAGTGTCATCGCTATCACCTTTGTTTTGGTTCCGGTTGTAAATAGCCGCACAGCCAAGCACTACGCCCCGAGATCATGCCGGTTCGCGAGTTTGCTCGTTGTCGACGCTTATTCGCGCTAAAATGTTGCAATCACGGCCGCAGGTCGCCCTTCTCAACCAACATGAACGTCGAGGGTCCCCAGGCGCGCGGGGACACCGTCATGGTCGACGGAAAGTCGTACGAAACGGACGACCAGACGAACGTCACTAGCCGCATCCTGGGCCACACCGAGCGCAAGCTGCACCTCCAGAAATGCCACCCGATCCAGTTGCTCAAGCGGAGAATCGCCGAATTTTTCACGAAGAACTACGTGAACCGAAGGGGCAACCCCAACTTCTCGGTGTACGACAGACTGAGTCCCGTGGTGACGCTGGAACAGAACTTCGACAGTCTCCTCGTTCCCAAGTCGCACCCGTCTCGTTGCAAGAGCGACAGCTACTACGTGAACGGCTCGCACATGCTCCGCGCCCACACGTCGGCTCATCAGGTCGATCTGGTCAGGTCGGGACTGGACGCTTTCCTCGTCGCCGGCGACGTTTACAGGAGGGACCAGATCGACAGGCATCACTACCCCGTCTTCCATCAGATGGAGGGCGTGCGGCTGTTCTCGGCTGATCAGGTAGTCCGGATAGTAATGGTGTGCATGTGTAATCTGTCGCGGGTTAAAAATAGCGGGACAAGGTCCCCCCACAAAGCCCTCCGTCCTTTCCACTTCGGAGGGGGGAACGCTGGAGAGGAGGAAACAAAACGATAAATCTTGACGAACAGAGACCATTTTGGGAGAAGGTTGTCCTGCTATTCTAACCCTGTAACAGCCTATAGCTCGTGAGAGTTGCGATAACGCCTCGCAGGAGTGTTTTTTTCAAAAGCAGCGTGGAGCTCCGGAGCCACGGGCTTCCTGTTCGAGTCTCTTGTGCTTTGTTTTGTCCTTGCATAGCCATTCAGAGGAATGTAGGGGCGATGACATTGATGGTCTCGTTTGGGGTCATTGGAAATTTGCAGAGAATGTGAACTTTGGAACTACGGCATGTCGAATTCAACAGCTGGAGGAGAGCTTTGCGCTCTGGCAATCTCCCACTCCATACTCCGAATTCCTCGGTGCCCGAAAAAACGCCCTCATACGGGACCACCTGTTATTAAAGGGACATTGAATTCCCACAACTAACAGCATTTTAAGTGCCTTGATAGGACAGTTATGTCACAAATAACAGCTTGCCTAAAAAGAAAAAAAAAAAAAAAACGAATTGCAAGACTCATTGGATATATTCCGGAACATGCTTCCGTTTCGTTGTCAATGTCTGAAAATAGATGCCTGTTTCAATTTCGATATTGCTGCTCACTCAAAATAAGTCTCGAGATATAAATATGCTGAAACCTTATTTTTAGTGTAAGTTTAATAGGGGGATCGGTGGCCGAGTGGGCTAGCGCACACCACCTCGGAGCACGTGGAGCGAAAGCTCGCGCTGCAGAACCCAAAGATCCTGGGTTCAACCCCCACCCCTGCCCGTTTCGATCTGGATGAGCATTGTACTGATGTGCGGTCGTGTATCACTAATGCGTGATGTTTTGTTAAAGACCCCAGGTTAGCGGTTGTACAGCACTGGCTAAATTGCTTATCTACAGCTGAGACACCAGACGTTCACTCAGGCATACTAACTTCCGGCTGTATAAACATACACACAACAATTTGTTTTTGTAAATCTAATTTGACATACGTGTCACCATCGAGGTGCATAAAAAATCATTTTTGAAGAGTTCTGAATTTCTTTAGGTGGATTAGTTAGGCATGTCGTACATCTATAGATACCCCATAATAGCTATTCAAAGTAGCAAACGAATTGAGGTAAGACTACGGAGTAGGCAACCCGCACCCGCTTTCCGTTTCCGAGCTGTTGCTAAAACTAGAATGGCGGGAGGCAGTCTCTAAAGCAGGCGTCTCATACACGCGGCCCGCGACTCGCTGAGACGAGTCCTGCAGGCGACCAGCTACGAGTTCCAGTTCCCATGTCTAAAGTGCTAGAAATGGCATGCGCCATAGTGATCTCATCTCGTCGAATCATTTTTGCTCGAAAAGTAGCTCTGCTCTTCTAACGTATTCACATAGTTCATAAGTATCTGCATTCATGGTTTCATTTTATTTTTTGCTTCCCAGCTTTTTGTAATGTTCAACATTTCCGCTACTTGGCTGAAAGCGCCAGCTATTCGTTGAAGGATGCATCTCTGCTGCGCGAACTCTCAATCAGCAGGAGCAACTGGCAAAGATAAAGCTACGAGCTCGGCACTCTCCCCTCAAAAAAATATCCCCATAAGAAGACAAGTATTGAATGAATAAACAGGTATTTGTTCAGGGTGTTATAATAAAAAAACGTCAGAAAAGCAAGGAGTGTCAAATTCACTGATTGTTTTTTGGGGACACGCTCAGCTTCATTAACGAGAATGACAATGGACTTTGTCACTTGTTCTATTAAAAAGGCCTGCACGTTGGCGGGGTGGTGTCATTTTAATTCTTGTTATTACATCAGGTCAGTGCCGAATGCAATCATATAAACAAACCAAACCTAAAGATGTCACTGGCGAAACTGAATTTACAAAAAGCACAGAGCATGAGGTCTCTTCTTTTAAAATATTTTAACCCCCCCCCCCCCCCCCTCTCGTCTGACGTTGGCCCTTGGCCTTTCCAGTGTGAGCTATCTGGCCTCCACACTCAAATGAGTTTGAGACCACTGCTCTAAAGCGCCGCGCGAAGAACAAATTCTAACTCCAGTATCTTTCGTTTCGCCCGCAGCTGTTCGAAGGCAGGGGGGCGGCGAGGGATGGCCTGGAGCTGTTCGAAGACGGCAGCCGGGACGAGATCAAGCAGGGGCTCCACACGATGGAGACGGCCAAGCTCCTGGAGCACAGCCTGAAGACCTGTCTTCAAGGCCTGGCCAAGCAGCTCTTTGGGCCCGGTGAGGGTTTTCGACTTGAAGCGCTTTCGGTACGTCCCGTCTTTGCCGATCTACGACCGACCACCGGGATTGCAACGACGTAAGACGTCGCATAAGACAGTCATCGTAGCTGGGTGGGTCGTTGAACGCACCGGTAAAAAACACGCCCCTGGCACCGTTGCTTTTCGGGGCTGCAGCACGGCGCAGACCGACCGCTCCTCGAATCGTGGCCTGCCTCGCACGTGCGCAGAGACGGAGACCCGCTGGGTTCCCACGACGTTCCCCTTCACGCACCCGTCCTGGGAGCTAGAGGCTAGGTTCCAGGGGGACTGGCTGGAACTGCTTGGCTGCGGCATCATGGAACAGGAGATCCTCTACAACGGTGAGCGGTCAGACACGTTGCGGCAACCTTAACTTCGCGGAACATTTCCGAAAGTTGCACTGGCTAGATCGTGCAGACGACGACCGGTGAGTGCAGAATGTCTTGGGAATGAGCTGGGCACATGCTATGTGTGTGTAATGTCACAACGTCACATGGCAGCATGGTGCCATGCCGTTATGAGACATTGTGGTGTCGCACTACGTCACAATGTAAGATGTTACGGTTTTAAAACATTCTGGCGGGCTAGTTGGTTACACATAATTAAATTACAAATAGCGCTAGGACGAGGACAGACGAAGAAGTGGACAGGACAGGCGCTAACTCACAACTGACGGTTTTATATACAACGTTAAAGAAGAAGGTGAAGGAAGTGTCTGGTGTTGAAAAAAGAAGAAAAAACCGTGGGAGACAAATTGAGAATAAAAATATTGGATAAAAATTGATAGAAAAAAAGTTAATAGAAAAAAAGTGATCGTCCAAAGGCCGCCGATCAGTGCCTCGTACAGCTTATTTACCTTTTTACATCCAACAGGCACCACAGCCAAAGCTATACCGGCGCGAGCGCATAGACCCACCCGGTGCACCACCTCACGCGCTCACGTGCAAGCGTGATTATGTATAGTGGTTCAAGTACTGAACCTCTTTGTCCGTCAACGCCAAGGATGGTGCGGAGACGCATTTTTCTCCATTGGCTTGTATGGTCTGTGCTTCATAGATTTCCCTGTTCCTCTTTTCTTTAAAACGTCCGATCACTTTTGTGTTTGAAAGCAAAGGTGTGCAGGAGCAATCTCGCACATGCATGGCTAAATGTCCAGAAGGTGTTGACTGCAGGGTCAGGGCATGTTCTCTCAGTCGTGTGTTTATGCAACGTCCAGTCCACTGCAGTCTGTTCCACTGCAGTCTCCTTCGATGGAAATTCCTACTTACAGAAGAGAGGAATCTGCATAGGTTCCTGCGTTGCACCTGTTTTATGCGACGTTTATCTGTCACATTGTGATCGGGCTATTGCTAAGAATATATCAACCAACCAAGTCTCGCGTATCTTTCGATATGTCGACGATTACCTGGTTCTCCTCCCTTTTCGTCCCGATGAATGTGACAGTCACCCTATCGACAGTGTGCGTGCCACATTTCTGGAACAGGCTGAACAGCTCAACTTTACCATTGAGGTGCCAACGGACGGCATCCTACAGTTTTTAGAACTGCAGATTACTTTTAACAAGAACCAGACCTGCTGGATGTACCACCCACGTTCTAAAAAACGGCTATTGCGCTATGACTCATCCCATTCCAAACTTGTAAAGCGAGGCATAGTGTCTAATT